GATGAGCAAGCGCCGCCTGGTAGTTGGAATGTGTACCCCTGCCATAAGAAACACAATGGGCGTCGTCGGCCCCCCTCTCACCCCTCCTCATCACTCCTCTCCTGCCTCATCCCTAGCCTCGCTCCTCCTCCCTCATAATCCCTCCTCCTCCTCCTCCTCCTCCTCCTCCTCCTCCTCCTCCTCCTCCTCCTCCTCCTCCTCCCCCCCCCCTCCTCCCCCTCCTTCTCCACCTCCACACCCAACATGTTTCAAAGTGATTGGAATCATGGTGCGCATTCTCAGCGACCTCCTTCTCCGCCTCCCCTTCCTCCTCCTCCTCCCCCTGCTCCTCCTCCTCCTCCTCCTTTCCCACCTGCTCCTCCTTCTCCTCCTCCCCTCTCCTCCTCCTCCCTCCTCTCCTCCTCCTTCCTCCTTCCTCCTCCTCTCCCAAAATGTTTCAACGTGATTAGAACATGTTGCGCATTCTCAGCGACCCTTCCCCCTCCTCTCCTCCTCCTCCTCCTCCTCCTCCTCATCATCATCATCCTTCCTCCTCTTCCTCCTCCTCCTCCTCCTCTTCCTCCTCCTCCCCCTGGCGCGGGCGGCGGGTGCCTCGAAGTTGTGGTCGATCGCGTCGCGAGCTTGGGGTGTTTGTGTGCTTTCTGTGTGCTATAGTTGTATGAGGACTTTTATTTGCCTTGGACGGGGGCACATTAAAAACATGGCCGCCTCTGGGGGACTCTGGAGGCCTCTGGAGGATTGGATTGCTCTGGAGGACCTTGGGGGACTCTGGAGGCCTCTGGGGTTCTTTGTTGTGTGTTTTGTTTTTGTTTATTGTGTTTGACACGTGTTTGTTTGTTTCTTTGTTGTTTTTTGTTGTTTTCATGCTTGTTTTTACTATGACGGTCGGTCTGTGATCGACTCCAGAAACACTCCCCATCTGTGTTTGTCCATCATCTTGGCGGGCACGTCATGCAATTGTGTGCCAGCAGTGCAACGGGCTGCGATACCTTTACACACCTTCACAAAATCCTCTCCCATGAAGGTCGCAACTCGCCGAGGGTTCATGAACTTGGACCTGTACGCCAGGTGCCATAAAAAGTGTAGCTTTGGGACTGCTGAAAACAATGTCTCTGAGCGGATGTCAGCCTGCGCACCTAAGTAAGAATAGTCTGCCAAGAAACGCTCAGTGAGATCCATGAACTCACTTGAAACTCTGGCAGGCCACAACAAATCGGACTTGTAGTCATCCAGCGTCGCCTGCATTTCTGACAAAGACTCTAATGCACGCGCAACTCTATTGTCATGGGGCGTACCCCTGGAAAATGTAGCCCATACCTGTATCAGTGGACCAACGATGCCTTTTACTTCTGCCCCCCTGCCCTTGAGGCGAGGGTATGTTTCGCTGCGTTTATTTTGTGGTATGAATAACGAGAGTGACATTGCTGTGTATTGGACTGGAGTATTCTGCAACTTATAATGTTTGAGTATCTCCCCCCACACAACATCGATCGCCGCTTCTGGGGGACTGTCAGACAAAATTGTAAAACACAAAATCCAAAGAATTGAACCGATGAAATATTGACAGACCCCTAAATATAATATGTGCAGCTCGTCCATTTCCACGTTCAACATTGAGATGTAATCAAACGTCGTGAACAGTGGATGCGTGCAGAAACCAGTTGCAACCCATTCGTCCCGTGAGTGCAGCATGTTTTTCCACGCCGAATGTTTGGTGAAGTTTGTCGGCCACATGTTTTTTGGTCTCTTTTTGTCACGGGGGCATTGCCATCAAGGGGCGTCAGCATTGTAATTGTTTAGCCCCAAGCACTTCGCGTACCAATCTAAATCTCCAGTTATCGACCACAACACTGCAAAGTACGGCTCGTCATCTGAGCACAAACGTCTGCCACTCACCATGGAATCGCTGCTGCCACACGGATAAGGGATTCCATTTTCATCTGCGTTTGGGAATCGACCATTGAATAACGCCTCTAAGCTCCAGAGGAGAACTTTCCAGACAGTGTCCATCGTACGGACAATCCTTGGCAAACTCTTTACTTTGTTAGCTTCGAAAACTGAGAACGCCAACAACTTCACTGCCGTTGTGTTTCCCTCGGCGAGTAAGCTTTGGAAACTAATGCAATCTAAACTTTTTGTCCCAGGCTTGCCGACCCTCACGACGGGGACTGCGTCCCCGTGCAGGCACAGAGGGATGGCCCACTTGTGCCAGTCTCTCACCGTGGCCATCGGATGGCCCTTGATCCTCGGATCTTTTCTCTCGACGACGCCTCTCCAGAACTCGCTCAACTTATCTGAATACGATTTTCCGTCGGGAAGATCGCCCAAGTATTTTTTGTTGAACTCACATGTGTCGCCGTGGAAGAAATGCGAAAACATCTGATGAGGCAGCAAGAACGGCAAACTCACATTGCGAATTGTTTTCTCTAGCACCCTCGGTTTTTCAACAAGCACGTTTACCTTGAAGTGGGCCATGTGTGGAAGATTCGGAGTCCCGAGCCACTTGATCGATTGGGGATGCACGTTGCCGTCGGTCCGCCCCCAATCACCTAGCTTTGCCAAATCATGCAGGGACGATGGTATATGGCTCAATGGCAAACGTAATCCCACCAGCCCCCTGGGGGTAAGTGGTTTAGGGGGTTTCCTCTCCGACCCCTCCTTCGCCCCCATCGGGTAAGGGGTTTACCCCTCCCCCTACCCCCTCCCCTGGACCTGGACGGGGGGCGCGGCGACGCGTTGGGGCGTCCAATATGGCCCAAGACGGCTCCAAACACGCATCGGAAAGGCCAATCTGGCCTCCAAGATGGCTCAACATGGGCCAACATGCATCACGATGGCCCTGAAGATGCCCCTAGACCGCCTCGAGACGGCACCAAAAGGCTAAGTAGTTCCCCAACCAGTCCCCCCAAGAGGCTAACATCCTTCAAACGCCTGAGGGAAACCAATGTGTTTTGTCTTCTCGCCATGTCGCTTCCGATGGCCTTCCGAGGCCCAAGATGGCTCCAAAAGGGCCCACGATAGCCCCAAGAAGGGCCCAAGAGGGCCCCGAGACGGCCCCAAGAGCGCCCAAGACCGCTTCAATAGCACCCCAAGAGGTGTACAGGATGATATTCTCATACGCACCTCTCCGAGGGAGTAGAGCTCAGAGGGGATTGGTGCGTCCGTGCGTGCGTCCGTCTTTGATTTTTCTGGCCGTTTCGCTCTGGACATCCTCGAAATTCTGAAGATCGGTGGCACCCCTCACGCAGATCGTGAAGGAGAGGTCCAGAAACACATAGGAATTTCAACAGTTTAACAGAAAACCTTCAAGAACACATTGTAATTTCAATAAATTTGACCCCGAGTCTCAGAGAATGGCTGTTTCGCCTGAGACATCCTCCCAACATCGAGCACCAGACCCCTCCTCGGAGCCTCCTGGGGGGCATCCTGGAACCTCCTGGTGCCTCCTGGGGCTTTCTGGACCTGCTGGTACCCCAGACCCAGCCTCGGAGCCTCCTGGGGTTTTCCTGGGCCTGCTGAGGCCGCCTGGGGCCTCCTGGTGCCTCCTGGGGCTTCAGAACTACATGCACACACAGAGACGCAAACCACGCCCAACACATCACACGCTAGACAAACATAACATACACACACACACACACCACCGACAACACACAAAAAAGCACGCACCACACAAAGCACACATCACACACGCACACACGCACACACAACACTCACAATCCTGGTGCCTCCTGGAGCCTCTTCTGGTATCCAAGTCGGGCCTCCTGAGGCTTCCTGGGGGGCCCTGGTACACACATCGCAAGGTGTGGCAACCTCATTTGCGCTCGAGTGCGACTTCGCTGTTGCATGTCACTCCTGCTTCAAACGCCCCTTCAGCTTGTTGTATGAGCCTGGGCACACACGTGCCACTTGTTTTTGAGGGCTCCCGAGGGGCGGCGCGGACTAAGGAGCCCCCTAGAGGCGCCCAGGAGACCCCTAGAGGCGCCAAGATGGCACCGAGAGGCGCCCGAGAGGCCTCCAAGAGCCCTCCCACCCCCCGACGCACTCAAGACGCCCAAGAGCACCCCAGGACAGCCAAGAGACCTCCCAGACGCCCCAAGATGTCCCCAAGAAACGCCCAACAGATACCTCAAGAGGCCTCGAAATTGTGGATGGGTTGCTGGGGATACGCGTAGCGTCTAGAATTTCTCAAGTAACGCAACTTGGTCCTTGTAAGATGTCAAAGATACCTGCTGCAACTGGACTGCTGAGATCTCGCCCCATGCCCATTTCCTGAGCAACTCGGAGGCCAACAAGGAATCGAAACGTCTTGGTTGGTCACCGCACTGTTCATGAGATGGGCCCGCGGCCTCAAGATGTCGCTTGGCCCGCTGCAATCGACCGCCCTTCATTGCCACATTGGTTATGCATAACAAGACAAAGCTGTATTCACGATCGTAATCAATTCGCAAACGGACAAGGATCTAAAGCCAATGTTCTACGGACGCATGCTCGCTCTATTCCGCCAGATGTCGGAGTCCTAGTGTTCCCACTAGCTACGGCCTTTTGTTTGTTTCTGTAGACGGCGGTTCTTATTCTTCTTGGCCAAATTGTTCCTGGATCCGATCTCCGAATGTGGCTCTGGCCCTGGCGTCGCGCATACTCGTCTGATAATTTCCAGCAGTTAGAGGGATGGATGGTGGTTCAGTTTCAAAACGTAACTATCTTTGGAGAGCGATTCCTTTTCCTCTCGCCTTCACGCCGAACAAATATGTGCTCTGACACGAGTTTGTTACACGAACCCTTGTCACATGATACCGCTCGGCATGTTGTGTCAGAGACGTGCCCCCACCCCCTAGCATCTTTGCTCGGGGCCAGCGGAACAAATTTTTGAAGCAGGAGGGCAATCAGAAGCTTGGCCCCGAGAGGCCCCGACAGAAAATGAAATCAAAACCGAGAACACGTTTTCAAAAACATGCAAGGACACTTGATGTTGGTTAGTAGATTCTTGGTAGATTTTTAGTAGATTTTGAAATCTACTAAAAATCTACTATGGATTTTAGTAGATTCTTGGTAGATTTCAAAATCTACTAAAAATCTACTAAAAATCTACTAACCACTGCATACACGCGATACCGCGCCCAAGTGATTCAATACACCCTCGGTGCAAACATTGATCTGACAGAGCTCATGCGTCCGCAATCCTCGCACCAAGCGAAGAAGAAACCTTACCACCACCGATGCTCCGCGCAGCTTCGGAGGCGCAACTGAAAGCAATAACATACAGCCCGTGCGCCGAATGTAGACGTTTCTCACGTGAGATCCCTGCCCCCCCCTTCCCTTCGTACCCTAAACCGCAATCACTCTGTGCAGCCGCCCGTCTGGGCACAATCACTCAGTGTAGCCGCCCGTTCGGGCAGCGGGGCAAACGTCGGGAGCTCCGAGGCGCTTAAAATAACTCGGTCAAACAACCTGAAAGCAGCATGGGCGCAAGATGTCACAACCTCACTGAACGCAATATGTCACAACCTCACTCAAGATGTCACAGCCTCACCAGGGTCCTCACCCTAGCCTGTGATAGCCTTGAACTTCGCCCCCGCGGAGGAGGAGGAACCGCCCTTCTGGTGGTGCTTGTGGATCGCCACCAGCTCGTTGTAGTACTCGATGAGCTGCCTGTAGGGGCCCGCGGCCGCCTGCAAGGCAGCCGCGACCTCCTTCTTGGTGGTGCTGTCGGGGCCCGCCATCAAGAGCCTCTCGATCTCGTCCTGGCTGGGGACCACGTCGCGGCAGAGCTGGACGCCACGACGCGCCATATCACTGCCAGCTGCGTTGCTGTTGGTCTTGCGCAGCTCGACCGCGACCCTCTTCATGGCGCTGGTGACCTGCGTCACCGAGTCGAAACTCTCCTGCAGGATCTTGACGTCGGTCGCGTCTGGCTTGTTATCCTGGTTCTTCAACGAGGGTTTGCCGCGCGGCCCCTTGAGGGCCTGGAGCCAGTTCTCCTTCACCGAGCAGCCGACCTCCATCATGTCGGCGAGAGCTGACCGAAATGTGCTGTCGTCCGCCGCCTCCTGGGTCTTGGTGCCGCGGACCGTGTGCGACGTCACGTCCTTCACGCTGATCTTCTTCGTGCGGCTGTACCACAGCCCGTCCTCTGGGTTCTCGTAGATCTCGTTATCGTTGATAGCCTCCTGGAACAATTGTTTGCTCCCTGCGAACACGGTCCCGATCATGCAGTTCTTGCTCATGCCCACGACGGCATCCTCCTTGCCCTTGGACACAGTCCTAGATGTAATCGCCTCGAGCGTCCTCGCCTTCACCTGCACGGAGTCTTTGTACGTCGCCCTACGGCTGACGTAAGCGTTCACGATCTGGGCCCGCTGCTTCATCTTGCCAGGGATTTTGCACTCCTTGCTGCCCAACTCCTGGTACTTATCCCAGTCGTCCTTCCGAATGTCGGCCTGGCTGTGCTCGAAAACGCACCGCTGGGCCCTGGAGGTCTGGCGATCGTCCAGGACGCCATCCTCCTCCGACTTGGCGCCCTCGGCCTCGTTCACGCTCTTGACTGCCTTCTCGGGAGCTGCGAGTGCGGACGCGTGCCACTTGGCCCCTGCTGGAGCAGCCGCTGGTTTCTTGACAGGCTTGCCGCCCTTCGCGGCCTTGATCACTTTTTTCGGCCCCATGTGGAAACAGCTTCGGTGGACAAATCCTCGGACCGATGGGCTACTCAGCAACAAAGTCCGATGGTGGTTCGGAGCCGTCTGAGCCATAACAACACAATGCAACGGAGGGGAGGATGGGGAAGGGGTCTCAAGGACCCCTTGGACAAGCCCGAGCTGGGCCGCAGGGGGCCAGAACGCTGTTGCAGGACGTAGCATAGCATAATTTGGCTCGGCATAGCTTGGCATGGCGCACCATATCATAGCTTGGTATGTTAGCCCTTTCCTATACACCCCCATCTCGACGCTGAACCCTCAGCCGAATCAACCACCAGCAAAGCACTTATAGGCGCTGGACAAACACATCATAGCATACGACACATACGACTGCAGACCAAGTACCAACAACGATGCTGCAATGGCATAGCATATGACATCATATCATATCGATGTTTGATTGTTTTTGTTTGTTTGTTTGTTTGGTTGTTTGTTTGGTTGGTTTGTTGGTTAGTTGTCTTTTTGCTTGTTTGTTTGTTTGTTTAGTTGTTTGTTTGTTTGTTTGTAATGTTTGTTTGTCACAGCGCCATCATCCGTCGCAGCGGTGGGGCCTGACCATGCCCTCAGCCTCCTCAAACGCTCGGGCGCTCAGAGTCCAAGGGGCATCCAGACAGTCGAAGGCGAACGTTTTTTTCAATGGCTACAATGAGAGGCGCTGCGCAAATTGCACGTCACACTGTGCACCGCACTGAAAGATGTCTGACAGATTCATCAGCATGAGTACATCCCTGTACTTCAAAAGAATCACACCCAAGAGAAACTATGCGTAGTAGAGACCACTTCGTGCCAATACATCTGTTGTGTGCGTGGCAATGCATATCTTGTGTGCGTGACAATACAAATGTTGTGTGTGACGACTGGTGTGGTGGTCTCTACTTCATGCGATCACGCATGTCCAAACACTTCTGCTTGGTCATGGTGCCGCCATCGATGGCAGCGTACATCTTGCGCATATCAGCGGCTAGAGAATCGCCCCAAAGTCTCACCCTGGCTGACCAGATGCAGACGCGCCTCAAAGAGCCATCCGCCTGGTACTCCCGCGCCGTGAGCTCACAGCGGGGGTCGCTCTCAGCCGTGGGCCCAGCCGTGCTCGGGCGGCACAGCAGGCCCGCGCGAGGGGGCACCGACGGGCTCTCATGGATAGTAGCCTTCATCTCGGTGTCCTTCTTCGCCACGGCCTTGGGCTTGGGCTTGGGCTTGGGCTTGGGCTTGGGCTTGGGCTTGGCCTTGCCCTTGCCCTTGCCCTTGCCCGAACTCCTGCCCGCGAGGGCCGTGGATTTCCTCCGCTTGGGCTGCGGGTCCAGGACGTGGCCGTCGCTCTCCTGGTCGCCCTCGCCGTCGTCGTCACCCTGGTCGTAGCTCTCCTGGCCGCCCTGGCAGTCGGAGCCACCGACGAGAGGGAAGCCGTCCTCGCCGTACACCGCGGTGCTCGGGATCGACGCCGCACTGCCACTGGAACGGATGCTGAGCTGCATCTGCGCCAGGATCGCGGTGGCATTCGTGAAAATCTTCGGGTAGCCGTCGGCGTCTAAGTCCGTGTCCTGGGGCAGGTCGAGCTTGGGGATATCGATATCCGCGTGGTCACGATCGCTGCGTGGCGAAGGCAGCGGCGATTGAAGATCGGGCGTAGATGAGCTATCTAACTCCATCTTATCTAGCAGGCCTTTGATGATGATGGTATCTGACGAGCCGCACGCACGTCTGAACCCTCCGACCTTTGACCGTTTACCATTCTGTGGGCCCTGGCTGCACGATTCACGCTTCATTTCCCGAAGAACTGCAAGACAGTGTCGCACATGTTCCGTCACTTGGTGGAAATACACAGGCCCATTGATCTCCATCGGGAGGCTGGAGCTGCAACTTGATTTCAGACAAACTTCTAACTTGTTAGGATAAACCACGCCGTTTCTCACGCCTTTCTTGAAGAGACTCTCAAGCAGCGGGCACAAACGGACGACCATGTTTGGAGTAACCTGATGCATGCCATTCGCAAGCTTCGGACCGAGGACATGATGAATCGAAACTCCTTGTGTAAATCCCACAAGCCCTCTGGACGTAGGTGGTTCAGGGAGTTTCCTCTTCCACCCCTCCTTCTTCCCCTTCGGGTAGGGGTTTACCCCTCCCCCTACTCCCTGGACGGGGGGCGCGGCGATGCGCTGGAGCGTCCAAGATGGCCCAAGACTGCTCCAAGAGCGCCTGGGAAATCCCTAGATGACCTCCAAGATGGCTCAAGATGGGCCATCATGATGGCTCTGCAGATGCCCCAAGAGGCCCCAAGATCGCCCCAAGACGGCTCCAAGAGGCTAAATAGCTCCCCAAGGAGTGCTTCAAGATGATAACATCCTTGAAAACCCTAGGGGAAACCAGTGATGGTTGCCTTCTCTCCTTTTCGCTTCCGATGGCCTTCCGAGGCCCAAGATGGCTTCAAGAGGGCCCAAGATGGCCCCAAGAGGGGCCCAAGATGGCCCCAAGACGGCCCCAAGAACGCCCAAGGCGCTACAAGAGGTCCCCAAGATGGGTCCAGGATGCTATTTTGGGGGCTCCCGAGGGGCGGTGCTAACTAAGGAACATCCTTTCTTTGATCGATCGCCCCCAAGAGGCGCCCAGGAGGCCCCAAGAGGCGCCAAGATGTCCCCAAGAGCCCCCCCCCGACGCACTCAAGACGCCCAAGAGCCCCCCAGGACCGCCAAGAGACCCCCCAGACGTCCCAAGATGCCTCCAAGAAACGCCCAAGAGATATCCCAAGAGATATCCCAAGAGGGGCTGGTGGGGATACGCGTAGCGTCTAGAATTCAGATATACACTCAATGAAATCTTGATCGGTGACGTTTGGGTTGGCAAGGGCACGCGGCCTCCTCCCTGCAGCAGCCATGGCTGCCTGGAACCAAAAAGAGCTAGCTATAGGATGTGACGCGTGGGATTGTTGAAACTTCACTGCTGTCAAGCGAGAGCAAGAGAGAGAGAGAGAGAGAGGATGACAGAGGGTGGATATTGGAAAGAGACCGAGTCGCGCACACGTAATCCCTGTGCATCTAGATCAGTTCGCCACTACGGAGAGATCACCTACACACATATATATATATATAGACATATATATATATATACATATATATATATATATATATATATATATTCTCATACGCACCTCTCCGAGGGAGTAGAGCTCAGAGGGGATTAATGCGTCCGTGCGTGCGTCCGTTTTTGATGTTTCTGGCCGTTTCGCTCGGGACATCCTCGAAATTCTGAAAATCGGTGGCACCCCTCACGCAGATCGTGAAGGAGAGGTCCAAAAACACATAAGAATTTCAACATTTTAACATAAAACCTTCAAAAAACACATTATAATTTCAATAATTTTGACCCCGATTCTCAGAGAATGGCGGTTTCGCCTGAGACATCCTCCCAAAATCGAGCCCCAGACCCCTCCTCGGAGCCTCCTGGGGGCCTCCTGGAACCTCCTGGGGCCTCCTGGGGCTTTCTGGACCTTCTGGTACCCCAGACCCCGCCTCGGAGCCTCCTGGAGTTCTCCTGGGCCTGCTGAGGCCGCCTGGGGCCTCCTGGGGCCTGGGGCTTCAGAACTACATGCACACACAGAGACACAAATCACGCCCAACACATCACACGCTAGACAAACATAACATACACACACACACCACCGACAACACACAAAAAGCACGCACCACACAAAGCACACATCACACACGCACACACACACATACACAACATTCACAATCCTGGGGCCTCCTGGAGCCTCTTCTGGTATCCAAGTCGGGCCTCCTGAGGCTTCCTGGGGGGCCCTGGTACACACATCGCAAGGTGTGGCAACCTCATTTGCGCTCGAGTGCGACTTCGCTGTTGCATGTCACTCCTGCTTCAAACGCCCCTTCAGCTTGTTGTATGAGCCTGGGCACACACGTGCCACTTGTATATATGTGTGTATATATATGTGTGTATATATGTATAGATGTATGTATGCACACGGATTGCAACCGCTCTTCCGAAGGGTCGTCTCCGAGGGGCCTCTGCGAGAGGCAATGGCAAGGGGTAGAAACACCGCGCGCCCCACGCCTGGAGCGCCATGTTTGTGAGTTCATATCGTGGGTGCGACCGCTTAGGTGGTACCCTATGGGCGGGGTCCTATGGGCAAGGCCTCATGGGCGGAACCTTGTGGTTGGGATCATATGGGTGGAACCCTAAGGTTAGGGCCTTATGGGTGGGGCCCAAACGCGTTGGTAGATTTTTGGTAGATTTTTGGTAGATTTTTGGTAGACACAAAAATCTACCAAAAATCTACCAAACACACTATGTGCATTGCCCATAGCGCCAATAGCTTCTGCACTTAGATTTCCACTCGATTCTAAGGGGAATGCCCCTTATCTTTCCTTTTGTGCGCCCTCAGAAACATAACCTTAACTTTTCTTTAGATTTCTGAGGGCACCGGATGGTCAGGGTTGGGGCTATTCTCGGCCTCCGGGGGCCCTCGCCGGGCCTCGGGGCCGTCGAACAACGACTCAGGACGAAAAGCCGGCCCTAGGGCAGTGGTTCAGTCCTCTGTGGCCGACGCATCGAGGCATTTGGAGCAGCTGGATGCCTGGGTATGGTAAGGATGCCCGATAAGGATGCAAGGGCATTGGACGTCAATTTCGAAGGTTTCGAGCTGGGCTCGACCAACGAAAGTGGCGAAGGATGGGCCGAGGAGACAAGGATACAAGGGTACCCTTGGGAAGGTCGCCCATACTTACCATGCGGGTTGACTGTAGAGGCCTCCAAGATGGGGTCCGAGCAGACGTTGTTTCGCCGATGCGTCGGCGACCTCGGCGATGCATCAACGCCGCCGGCTTGGAGAACATCGGGCTCCGCATCGAGCCGCATCGCCGATAAACTGGCGATGTGGCGCGATCCTCCGATCCCCCTTCTGCTCCGACCCCGTCCGGGAGGCATGGAGGGGGGCAATTTCAATCAGCATCGAATCGGGAAGTCGGACCGGATCCACACGAGTGTCGGATCGGGCCGTATGGGCACGGAGTCGGCATCGAATCGGATCGGCTGCTCCAGGATGCAAAACAGCGCCATGTGAACATCAGGGCCGCATTGTCGAATCGGATCGATCGGATCGGAAAAATGTCGGATCGAAGGGCCGTTGAGGGAGCGGGAAATGGCAGGAGAAGGAGAGAGGGAGGAATGAGGAAGGAGAAGTAGGAGACGAGAAGGAGAAGATAAGGAGAAGGAGAAATAGAGAAGGAGAAGGAGAAAGGAAGGAGAAGTAGGAGGGGGAATGGGGGGAGACGAGACGCTGCAGTGCGCGCGAGGGCGCGGCCCTAGCGAGAGCGCAGCGGGGGGGGGGGGCGTGGCCTCCCAGATGACGATCGGACGCATGTTTTTCCAAAGGTCAAACGAGATGGGCCTCCCAGAGGGTCGCAGAGAGGGAGTCAGAAGTCGAAGGGTGGAGGACGGGGGGGGGGCAGCGGGAGGACAGGAGGAGGCGGAGGAGGACGGGGGAGAACGGAGGGGGAGGGGCAGGGGGAGGTAGAACGGGGGGGAGGGGGGAGTGATGGGGGGAGAGAGAGAGGGCGGGATGAGAAGGGGGAGGGCAGGATGAAGGTGGGGGAGTGGGAACGGAGGGATGAGTTCAAGGGGGCGAGAAAGAGGAGGAGAAGGAGGAGGACACATCTAATCCCAAGATGCGTCAGCGATGCTGTTCTATGAGCTCCCGTGACAACTCCCCCACCCCATCAGTTCCAACAGCGCTTCCACTTGACAGCGGGAAATGCGGAGGATGAGGAAGACACCAAGGAGAAGGACGAGACAACGGAGGATCAGCAGCATGATGGATGAGGAGGAGCAGGCTGATGAGGAGGAGAAGGCGTGCCCGCCACCGTACTCGCGGCAATCTGGGGCGTGCTGGAAAGCGTGGCCACTGTCTGGATAGAAACATGGTACTTCTCATAGGGCAATCCACCCTGGCAACGCACTCGGGTACAACCACGTCCCCGAATTCTGCCCTCCAGCGCGGTTTCTGCCGTTGGACGTCTCGAAGCGGCCAAACACCGCCCCAAAACGGCTACAGGGCGCCCCAAGTCCATGCACGGCAGGTCCCCGAAGAACCCAAGACCTGTGGCCCCAAGAAGAAGCATCCATCGAGGCCCTGGCAGGTGGAACTCCGAAAAGCATTCGCACATATGAGAAGCACCTGTCTGGGTCTGGCCATGGCTCGGACGTGCATTCCTTGTGGTTTTGTTGGGTTTCGTGCGTGGCTTTCCCGCCAAACAGATCAAGGATGCTCCTCGATGGTCCTCGCCGGAGGAAAAATGCACACGTCCGAGCGATGCCAAGTGTCTGGGTGGGGACTACGGCGCACTTCGGCGTCACATCGCCTCGGGGAAGCTGAAGAGAGCCCAGAGAAGCACCCAGGACGGTTCCACCAGCCCCACAAGCGCCCCCGAGTCTGCCCAGCAGCCCCCAAAGATGGCCCCAGAGGGCTCCAATACGGCCCCAGGACCTGGCCAAAAGACCAATTTTCGGGATAACTCTGTGGAGCCATCGCGCCAAAGACGCCTCCTCGCGACCAGAAGCGGCAAGCGAAGACCTGGGACAGCCAGTCAGCCCCTTGAGCAGCGAAAGCGAGACCCCTTCAGCGCAGACGCCGACGGATTGAGCCACGTCTCTTCAGCATCGCCGAGAACGGCCTGGCCACGCGAACTGCAGTCGGGGAATCGGCCAGTCGGCGCAGTCGGCCAGTGGGTCAGTCGGGGAATCGGGGAGTCGGGGAGTGAGCCAGTCGGGGAGTCGGCCAGTCGGCCAGTCGGGGGTGGTGGGGGGAGTCGGATAGTTAATCCCGTTGCCCCAGGGAATTTCCCAATGCCCGGCGTTCCTGTAAGCCTACCACGAAGCTTAGTTTCCTCAGAACCCCAAGATGTTCTCAGACCAGAAGCGGTGTTCCTATAACACAAGCCCGATGCGTGAAAACAGGGCAGCCTCAGCCAGAAATGCTCCAATGACATTTCGCCAGAGAAAAACCCCATCAGTGGATGATTTTCGCTGAGGAGATCGACCGGGAACCCGGGAGCCCTGGAACCCAAAACCCACCGAAATCGCCCCGAAACCAGTAACCAAGAACCCGGGAACCTGGAACCAGAGGCTGCCGTCCGGGCTTGCGTTTCCCATAATTCAACAATTTGAAAAGGGCGAATTATGGGAAACGCAACCCCGAACGACTACCCCGACACATTGCGCGGGAATCCCGGAATTCGAATTTCGAATTATTGGAAGCGCAATTTTCTTCAACAAACCGCACTCAATGGGTCAGAGTTGCGTTCCCCACAATTCGGAATTATGGGCAACCCGACTGTGGCCGACTGAGTGCGTTTATTGAAGAGAAAGTAGCGTTTCCCATAATTCGAAATTCCGAGAATTCGAATTCCGACTTTCGGGAAACGCAATGTCAATGGAAAAACCACACTCAATGGGCCAGAATCGCGTTTCCCCCAATTCGGATTTATGGTAAACGCAATTCCGGCCCAATGAGTGTGGCTTTTCAATGGAAGCTGGGTTTCCCAAAATTCGGAAGTCGATTTACGGGAAAATCGAATTTCCCGTGCAATGTGTGCTTGGGGCAGTCGTCCGGGATTGCGGTTTGATGATGGGAAACGCAATCCCGGACGACTGCCGGAACCAGGAACCCGGGAACCCAGCCTGCCCCCCAAATCGGCGGGAAACTTTCGCCAAATCTTTCAACTTCCGCTAGGACCCCTTCGGTGCAAGCACTGATTGGGGAATGTCGCGCAGACCACACAAGGTTCTCAGAACATCCCTTGGCAGGCCAAGCTGGGCAGCCTCAGCCTCAGCCAGAAATGAACCAATAACACTCGGCGGTGGACAAACCTCCCTGTAATAAACCTCCCTTCGATGAAAACGACCCATGACCGAAACCGACGGAGGGGGGGGTGCAAATCATGACCGGCGGCACGTGCGCGGCCCAGCGGGGGGGCCAGGGACGTAATGAAATAAGAAGAGGCGACACGAAATCTGGAGAAATGTCATGCCCCCCGCCATGAGATCCACCCCCCCCCTAGTCACCACCCCCCTCTCTGCCGCCCCCGATTCCCGCGCCATCCTCTCACCTTTCCGTCCTGGCCTCGAGGCGCCAGGATTCGCAAACGCGACGACAGGCATGAGAGCAGAGCCGACGGAAGAGAGACGAGGAAGGAGAGCACTTAGTGGGCCCCGGAAACGGCGGGCCGTGTTTTCACCGCTCCCTTGAAAATGGAAACGGCAAAAAAAAACGACCGGAAACGGCAAAAATCGGCTCCAGGATTGGAACCGGAGCGGGAACCCGTAAAAGAATTGCGACGGATCCGGTAAAAAACGGCGACGGAACCGGCCAAAAACCGGCAAAACGGAACCGGTAAAAAAACGGCCCTGTCGTGTCCAGGGCCCACTGAGGGAGAGCATCCCCCCGGCAGGCCCGCCGGGACGCCGCGCCGCTGCTCGACCGGGGCGGGCACCCCTCGGGGCCCCGCGGGCGCCACGGAATCTGGGGAAAGATCATGGCCCCCGCCATGATCTTCCCCCCCCCCCTAGTCACCACCCCCCTCTCTGCCGCCCCCGAAACAAAAGGTGCTCAGAGCGCCCCGCCATGATATCCACCACCATGATATCCCCCCCGCCATGTTACCTCCCCCCCCCCTAGTCACCACCCCCCTCATATTGCCGCCCCCGATAAAAAAGACGTGCTCCCAGCATCCCCCCGGCAGGCCCGCCGGGGCGCCGCGCCGCTGCTCGGCCGGGGCGGGCCCCCCTGGGAACCCCGCGGGCGCGGCCTCCGCCGGCTGCACCGGCCGCGGCCGCGCCCGGCGCTGAGGCGTACCGCCGCCGCCGCGGCCGCGCGGGCTGGCGGCGGCGCCCCGCCCTGGCGGCGGCGCCGACGCCGACGACGAGGCCGAGGCCGAGGCCGAGGACGAGGAGGAGAAGGACGACGAGAGCGAGGACGAGGGCGGGCACGAGGACGAGGGCGGGCACGAGGACGAGGGCGGGGACGAGAGCGGCGGCAAGGGCGAAGACGAGGACGACGGCGAGGGCGAGGACGAGGACGACGCCGACGACGGGCAAACACGATGACGACGACGCCGACGCCGACGCGGACGACGACGACGAGCACGAGCACGAGCACGATGACGAGGACGAGGATGACGACGAAGGCGAAGACGACGACGACGACGAGGACGAGGACGAGGACGACGCCGACGCCGACGCCGACGACGGGCGAATACGACGACGCCGACGACGAAGGCGACGTTAACGACGACGCCGACGCCGACGAAGAGGACGAGGACGGTGACAAACGACGCCGACGCCGACGACGAGGACGAGCATCAGCACGAGGACGACGAAAACGACGACGAGGACGACGACGAAGACGAGAACGAGGATGACTCCGAAGCCGACGCCGACGCCGAAGCGACCGACGCCGACGCGACCGACGCCGACGCCGACGCCGACAACGACGACGACGACCACGACGACGACGACCACGACGACGGCGGCGGCGGCGACGACGACGACGACGAAGATGCTGACGACGAGGACGGGGGCGACGAGGACGAGGACGAGGACGCCGACAACGAGCATCCCAAACTGCCAGGTTCTCTTCGCGCGTGCCCGCGTGGGGGCCCGAGGTCGGGGCATCGAGCACCAGGAGCTCGGGAGGCGGGAAGGGGGAAGAGCGGGAGAAGCAGAGCAGCACTGAACGCAGAAGGAGGAGGAGCAGGAGGAGGAGGAGGAAGAGGAGGAGGAAGAGGAGGAGCAGGAGGAGGAGGAGCAGGAGGAGGAGGAGGAATATTACGAATGCGAGCGTGGAAGACAGCAACAGTCTGGGGGAGAAGATTACGGAGCAGCCCCTGGCTTTCCCTCCCCGCGGCCGTCCTGGGCTGCGCGGGAGGAGGCGGGCAGACTCAGCATCACGAGCATGCTTGGGAGGCCCCCCTGGGCGGGGGTGCTGACCTTCAGAGATCCGCTTAAGATCATGATACCCTTTGGGCGTGGGAGAGCACATGCCGACTATCCACCTAGGGTCAGAGGTAACTGTCTTGCCGCACACGGTGCAGAAGGTGAGGTCGTACCGCCCACAGAAGCTGAACCAATGGCAGGGGTTGAGGCTCTGACCTCCTATTCCCTGGGGCCCTTGGAAGGAATAACATCATTTCCGACGGGGCGAGCCTGGCAACGACTGAGGGCGGCGGCTGTGATCGAATTTCTCGTCTCGAATTGAAAACAACACAAACGCAAAAACTTGGGCCCGCTCTTCCGCCACTCGTGGGCGGACGACTGCAAAGCGTGGACCAACGCGGGGACGGGAGGGACCTCGGGACGCTCGGGACGCGAGGCTGAACGCGCCCGCTCAGCGAAGCTTGGTCCTGGGATGAAAGGGGTGGTTTATGGGGCCCCCGCGCCGCTCTCCTCGATGGTGCCTTCGTCGCCCCCGGGACAGAAGTAGTCCTCCAGGTCGTTCATCGGGTCGACGTCCTCGTCGTGGAGGGCGGCCCTCCCGGCGCCTGATGTCAATGCGGAAGTGGGAGAAAGGTTTGGAGGGTGATGATGCTCATATCCACGAGGTTCATACTGGAGGCTTTGGGTGGCATCGCGATGCAAACGTTCGGCGCTGCTGGACACGTCTCACTGAAGGCCTCGAGCGCCTTGCCAGAGGTCGAGGGGGTTGCTGGAGCCGACGGCGGGTTCCGCGGGATCGTCGTCGCTGCTGCGGTGCAGCTCGTCTTGGGCGTCCTGCATCTGTTGGTCCAGCCCGGCTCTCCGTCGATTGCGAGACGCAAAGGCTCCCTGGCGCCTGCTGCCTGGGGCCGCCTGCTTCTCTGGACGCGCGGCAGTCGGTAACTTGTTGGGGATCTGGATGGCACGATTCCACCTGTCGTCTATTCCACCGCAAGCCGACAAGGCGAGGCCGACGTGGGTCTTCCCAAGGGCCTCCGCGACCGCCCCCACCTTGACCGAGTCGCGCAAGTCGTTGCGCACGAAGCCGTAATCGACGAGGCCGAGATTGCAAGTGGCATTCAGTTTCGTCGGCAGGATGCGCTATCCTCCAAGTTTCTTCAGCCAATCGTCTTTCTGCCAATCGTCGGGCTGGTTGTCCCAGACGCCGACGACGGTCCACGGGCCGGCGATCCGCTGGAGAAAGGCGGCTAATCAGACGAGCGTGCTCTCGCTGAAACCTCTGAAGCCCAACGTGGGCTGCAGGTGGGCCGCCACCGCCGCGGGCCTGCCAGCCCTGATGCGCCAAATCGTTGGGCAGAACCCCTTCGAACGGGCCCTGTTGGACTTGAGCTTCTCCGCCTGCTTACAGTTCTCGAAGAGCGTGGTGACGAGCGGCTTCTTGCGCAGGGTGACCTCGCCTCCTGTGGTGCCCGTCTGTGGTCCACCAGTGGGCGTTCATGGCGTGGCCGTCGTCTTCCAGTATTCCTTGGACATGTTGACAATCGTGTGCTCGAGACGCTGCCCGTGGAGATGGGTTTCGGCGAAGCCGAGCACGTCGTTCTGATCAGCTGGGGCCCTCGCGCAACTCTCCGAGCGCCACTCGAAGAAGCTGGCGAAGAAGAGTCGGCCGCCCAGGCTAGGAGCCTGGCGCGCGCCCGCCGCCTCGGCCGCCTGCCTCCCGACGGAAAGCAGTTCCCTTCTTCTCGAGATTCTGCGCGGCGTAGTTGGCCCCCTCGTGCGGAGTGCGCTGCTTGACGAGGCTGGCTGTGTAGGCACATGAATGTCCTTGATGGCCTGGACGAAGCATGCGAGCGCGGGGTTGGCGGTAAGCAGCTTGAGCACGCCGACAGGGTCCACGGGCTGCTCGCCCTTTGCCCGCGGAAGTTTTTTTCGATGGAGGGGCGCCTCCACTCTTCTTAAATAAATGGATCACACTGTTACACTTCGCGTACTTGCCATCACATGAGACGATACGGAAGTTGTACACCCATGTTCCGCATGTCGAGCACGCCGAGAAGGGCCGGCAGCGCCCCATGACGCGGCGCTGGAGGGAGAAGGTTGCACCAAGCACAAGTGCCCAAACACAAGTGCTCAGACGGGCAGCACGATAGTGGTACCCATGCTCTGCAAAAGGCCAGAGCCATCTGGAACCAAAACGGCTACGGAAGGAGGAGGAGGAGGAGGAAGAAGAGAGGCAGGAGGACGACGAGGACGAGGGTCAGGATTGGAGGGGGGGGGGGGGGGGGGGAGGCCCAGCGTCGGAATGAGTTCGTCAGCCACACCTACATCTGCTGCACCCTCAAGCTTCTGGCGATCGAGCGCCACCCTCCCATGGGGGTGTCAGTCGCCATCTGTGCCGCTTTGGCAAAGTCTCTTGCCTGATCGGCGGACGGACACGAGTTCCCTCTACTCCTCCTTGCTTGGTGAAGGAGGCGGTGGAGGTGAAAGAGAATCACGAGCTGTCGGAGTCGCAAAAGAGAGGGATCAAGGATGACCAATCGTCGGGGGAGGGACGGGTCCACCACGGACCCCGACGCGGAACGGACGAGGAAAAGAAATCCAGGGCAACGCACATAGTGGGCGAGGGAGTCAGGGCCCTCGCATCCCATAAGACAGGACAAGTCGGGGTTGCGCATGCGGGTGTCCGTGACCCACCCCCCTGTCCACGTCTTGATGGCAGCCATTCTCCAGGACGGGGGGGAACGACGCAGAAGACCCACCAGCCCGTCCCAGTCCACCCCGCGACAGACGTCCTCCCCAACCTGGAACCATCGCTGGAGACGCTGGGCAATGGAAGGGATGAGCGAAGAGGCAGAGGGGTAAAGGATGGGGGCAATGCCCTCCTGGAGGGACCTCTGAGTCTTGACGGACAGTGTAGGTCTACCAGCCGCCAGGTCCTGCTGCGCCGACCGGCGATCTCGCAAGAGGGCGAGGCCCGCGCGGGCAGGGGCGGCGAGGGGGCCGAGCTCGTCCGCAGCCTCCGCCGCGCTGCGGAGGTTCCAGGCCAGCGGGGGCTCTATCCAGAAGCTCGGCCACGGAGTGTGCCCGTGCCCTCGCCCCACCCATTGCACCAGCGGGAGGTGTTCCTCCGCCTCAGCTTGAAGCCTCGGACAGAGCGATCTCCAGACCGTTGTCGTCTCGAGGGCGGTTCGCATGCGGGCGGCGAGGGCGACGGCGCGGAGCGGGGGGAGCGGGGGCCCGCCGAAGGAGTGGAGGTCGAAGAAGCAGCGAAGAGGGAGCCACGAGCCAGGCGCGCGGAAGAGCCGCGTGAGGTGGTGTCGCTCATCCGCCACCTCATCTTTCGGAAGTTCGAAGAGTTGTGACTTGTACTGCAGGGCGCTCACAGCTCTCTCTCTCTCTCTCTGTGTACATGACGCCACACGCCGCCGCATCAGCACCCGTGCTCGCAATCGCTCGTGTGCGGTCTCTGTACTTCTGCACAACTGGCGCCCACTGCGTGTGCATCGTGGCGGAAGGGCCGAGAACGCATCCCAGGTAGTCCAATTCAGACACAACCTTGAATTGCTGCCACTTGTTAGAGGTTTCCTGCAGGAGCAACTGGGCTTGATTCTTGATGGCTGGCGAGAACGGTTCCCAGAGAGGGACGCACAAGCATTTCCTGGGGCGAAGATGCAGATTTGCGATCTTGCCCGAGACAGAGAAGACGCGGGGCAGAGCTTTGCGGCCAGGGGCTCCCCACGTCACAGCACCACAGTCGTCAGCACACCATCTGGCGAGCCCCTTGCCCATGCTCTCGCCACCCGAGAGGGCCGAGTCTAGATCACGCACAAAGGGGTCGACTCCTAGAGCAAACATGCTGCCAGAGGGAGGGTCGCCTTGCATCACTCCCCCACGCGCATTATACAGTGGGACCCGAGCAGAGCAAGCACTGAAA